GGCATAGAACACATTAACATTTATGATCTGAAAACAAAATGAGTAATCAGTTGGCTGAATGGAGAAATAAAGGTTTTCTAGGGCTCTGCTGCACAGTAACAACAGCAATGCACTTTACACATAACTTTTTAAATTCTTACAACCTCTTTATAAGACAGGCATTATTATTATTCCCATTTTAAATTTGAAAAATAACTGAAGCCTAGGCAGTAAATATCACCCCGCCAAGGTTGCAGATGCTAAGTACTGAAGCCAAGACAACTCAAGTCTGTGTTACTCCAGAAGAGCACTCCAACCACTGTATTCTGCTGCCTTTATGAGGGGGTGAGAAGCTAAAGTCCTGCATCAGTTTTCAGAGCAGCTAGTCTCAGGCGCAATGCACCAGCCTTGCCCAGGAACCATAGATCCAGGCCTTTCCCAGGGTAAGTAGTCTGGTTGCCACTTGCCCAGCCCTACCACAGAAATCCTTATCTCACTGCTGCCAAAGAAGCACTGACTACAAACCCCAGCGACATAAAGAAACCCACCACTGCTCTCACAGCCTGGTTCTTTTCCTCCTTCCCCCTTCCATCCTCAACAGCCATGCCAGAGGTGTTATAATCTTTCAAGCTCCAAGTGCTGCCACCTCCTGTTTGCTCACACTTTGGAATGTAGTTCCAGTATACCTATCCTTTCACAATTTAAATTTCACACATGCCTTAAAATATAAAGCTTGTCTTTAGCCAGTATACACATGTTTGCAACCATTTAGAAAAACTTATTTTACTTAACTTACAAGTGCTAACTTTGTATTTTAAAAACAATTTCAAACTTACTGAAAAGTTATAAGAACAGTATAGAGAATGCCTGCCTATTACCCTAGATTCACCAATTTTTCACATTTTTTCATTAACTTTCATTCTCTCTCTTCTCACTCTCATGGGTATGTTTATGTGTATATGCACTACACATCGATATAAAAATATATAAATAAATGTATTATTCTGAACTGCTTGTGGGTAAGTTGCATATATCACGCTCTTTTACACCTCAATATTTAAAGTACAAATTTCCTGAGAAGAATATTCTCTAATATAAAGATAACCACAGCACAGTCATCAAATTCAATAAATATAACATTGCTGCAATACTTTAAAGTGCAGGCCATAATTGCAATTTTGTCACTTATCCCAATAACATTCTTTAGGGCATTTTTTACCCTCTTCAGTAACAGGATCAACTCAGGATCATATATTACATTTAGTTGTCAATCACTTTAGTCTCCTGTAATCTAGGGCAGTTTCTTGGCCTTTCTCTTTCGTGACACTGACATTTTCAAGAATATAAGCACAAAATATCCCTCAGTTTAGGATTGTTCCAGCCAAAATACTAAACAAGTGATTCTCGATCCTTCTTAGGGTAACATATCCAGAGGCATTTGGTACCCATCTATCTTTCACTGATACTTATTTTGATCACTTGATTAAGGTGTCATCAGCTTTCTCTGCTATATAAAACCTCTTTTCCTCTTGCAAATAATCAGCAATCTGTGAGAAGACATGTTAAAACCATAAAAAGATCTTACTCTGCATCAAGCTGTCCCCTTGGATTTAGAACTGTTGGATGATTTTTGCCTGAACCAATCAATACCATGACAATTACAAAATAATTTTTCAATTCTACTACTCCTTCCACATTGATTAACTGTAAAGACAAGTCCTTTCCTCTCTTCCATTTTATTTAAATATTTATCTATTTATTATACATATAAATGTAAGTATTCCTCTTTTATTTAATGGCTATATACTATTGCTCTCCTCACCTATTTTGATATTCAAATGATCCCTGATTTGGCCAGTGAGACTTCCCTCAAGCTGGGTCCTGTGGTTTTTTTTTTTTTAAAAAGCATTTCCTTACTTTCTGGTCCAACAAGATGTTCCAGACTGATCTGGTACCTTCCTGAGTCATCCCTAGAATCAGCCATTTATCCAAGTGTTTCTGGTTCCCTTCACTGGGAAATATTTAGAAATCAAGATCTGGGTGGTGCCACTGCGGCTTGGCCATTTCTGCGAAATATATACATATACTATGAATACATCTTCATATTGATACCTCCAATTCTCACAAGATTCTCTTCTCTGCCTTTCCATTTCTATATTCCAGAACTTCCCTTCTCCCATCATTAAGAACCCTAGCTTGTACCAACATCAGTGCATTTGTTCATTTCCTTAATCCAGAGTTTCTTTGGTTATTTTATTTTATTTATGTATTTATTTATTGTATTTATTTATTTATTTATTTATTTATTTTTTGAGACAGGTTCTCACTCTGTTCCCTAGGCTGGAGTGCAGTGGAGCAATCTGGGCTCACTGCAACCTCCACCTCCTGGGATCAAGCAATTCTCCGCCTCAGCCTCCCAAGTTGCTGGGACCACAGTCGCATGCTACCACGCCCAGCAAATTTTTTTTATTTTTAGTAGAGATGAGGTTTCACCATGTTGGCCAGGCTGGTCTCAAACTCCTGAGCTCAAGTGATCCACCCACCTCAACCTCCCACAGTGCTTAGATTATAGGCGTGAGCCACATGTCCGGCCTGGAGTTTCTTAAAGGTGGCACTATTGACATTTTGGACCAGATATAATTCTTGATTTGGCGGGGAGGTGTTGGGAAGTCCTGTGTATTGTGCAATGTTTAGTAACATAACCTCACCAC